CGTCACGAGTTTGGGTGTTCGAAAATGAGTTAAAAGCGGGCTACATACGACATGATATCGGTGGCGATCTAGGGTGGAGTAGTGGGGATGCCTCCTAGATTGCCTCTAAATCGTGTCGTATGTAGGGCCATCCTAAGTCGTGGCCGATATCGCCTCCTTAATCGGCTGGCAGGAGCAAAAATGCAGCCGATGCTTCCCCGCCCCCCTCCGTACTGCGTGTGTGTAGGCGCATCGGCCCGATTTCTTTTGGTAGTCGCTGCCGGCAGCCCTCGCGAAAGGACGTGAACGAAACAGTGATACTGAATGACCTTTTTTACATAACAAAATTTTTACATTATAAACATGTGAACGGAGTAGAAGCCTATGGCCTTGATATTTACAAAAAAAAAACAAAAATAAATTGAATAAATAAATTAATTAAAATCTATCGAAATTCAAATCATATCCACCCTAGCCTGTGACCTCGCGAAGTCAAGAATGCCTACTAAACTAATTGTTTTATTGCCGTTCGTAAAGTAGGGTGTATGAAGTAAGTAAGGAGAAGATAAAGCCTCTCCTCAACAACTAACTCCTATTCCAACGCTATCAACACAAGACCGCACTCAGATCACTTACGTGCCTTCATCCTCTCATCAACAACTAACTCCTACTCCTTCACCATCTCCACATCAACAAACAAGCTATATAAAAGGGAGTATGTCCGAAATTAAAAGTTTCTTTATGTTAAAAAAAGATATAAGCTATTTTATTTTTTGATAGTTTTAATCCATAAATAAAGATTACATTAAAAAAAAGTATACATAATATTATACAAAAGTAGAAGAGAAGTAAAGTTTTATTTGTTTGTTTGTTGTGTGTAGTACATAACCCGATTATGTTATTTCTTTGTTTGTTGTGTGTAGTATATAACCCGATTTTGACCAAAGCAGAAATGAACAAAGAGAAGAAATAACTAAATAGCATGGGTAGGAGAAATTGATGTTTTTATATATAAATTGCGAAATCATAAATATAGAAAAATTCTAGAAGGTTGTAAAAACTGTCTTCATCCATCCGGAGGAAATTAATCATGTCTTTGGATTACAGACGATTTAGTACGTTTATGTGGCTAAATTTTTGTCTCTTTTGGAGCCATTTTTTCACCCAGCAACTCCTCTTTTTGTATTTTCGAATAAATTAACCAAGATGGCTAATTCCAAACCAACACGTTGGTGTTTTAAGAGAATCGGAGGCATTTTGAAGAACTCTACCGCATATGCGTTCCGCTCCAAGTCCAAACACGTACTGCTAGGTAAGCCCGCGTGTAGGGTCTGCCTCGATAAAAGCCCCGATTTCTTTCCACCCTAGATCGCCACCGATATCGTCTCGTATGTAGCCCGCTAAAGCCAACAAAAATTGTTCGTTCACGGAGTGTTGCAAAAAAATGGTGGCCACGTTTGTCTCCAAAACCGGTCATGTTAGGACTATTCCCCTTGAGGGACAAAGAACGGTTAATGCTAATGGTATGCTAGCATTTGTTTGCCACAGGTCGTTTCTGAACTCCGTAAAGAGAACTGCAACCGCCGCATAATCCTCCATCACGACAATGCGAGTTCTCACACTGCACACAGAACAAAAGAGTTTTTTGAGCAAGAAAACATAGAATTATTAGCCCATCCGCCGTATAGCCCCGACCTAAGCCCTAATGATTTCCATACTTTCCCTAAAATAAAGAATAAATTGCGTGGACAGAGATTTTCATCACCTGAAGAAGCTGTGGACGCCTACAAAACGGCCATTTTAGGGACCCCAACTTCGGAATGGAATGGTTGCTTCAATGATTGGTTCCATCGTATGGAAAAATGTGTCAAATTTCGCGGAGAATACTTCGAAAAGCAATAAATACATTTTTAAATAGTAATGTTGTGTCACTTCCTTGATTCCCAAAATTTTCAGTGCCGCCCTCGTATAAATAATAAACTAACTGTTCCTGCGACTTCGTTTGTGATCAGTACTTTTGTCAACCGACGAAAAAAAACGGAGGAGGTTCTCAAGCCGACGCGTATATTTTTTTTTAATTATGTAGTAGAGTAGTCCGATTTTGATAATTCTTTTTTTAATGGATAGGGTAAACCTCAAAATTGGTCCGATATAAATTTGGAAAAAAATTATTACCCTAAGGATGGGAAAATAGAGGTGATTCATTTTTTACTCACATATTTTATTGCTGAGTTGTGTATGACAACTTTACATAATAATTACATTACATTACAAAAAAAAACCTCACGTTGAATGAGCTTTTGACCAGTCAGTCTCTCGTGTGTAGACCTCTCAGTCTTTGCTTTCTACTAAAGCTCGTGAGGTTTTTGTAATACCTTATATGGCTCTAGATCAATTAAAGCAATACCGTCCAGTATTATTACTCTATTCAGTGCTACGTATGCCTGCTCTTTGGCAAACACTTTCTTTCCGAGGTCGATTACAGCTTTAAACAAATAATAGTTAAATTAGGATTATATAACAGTTAATAGCAAAAGTAAGGTAAGTAACTATTTTAAAAATAATCAAAAATTAAGCATGTAGTAATTAGTAAAATTATAGCCACAAAATATTATAAAATAAAAAATTTTTAACAAAAAAATTAAACCGCCGAAAAAACTGAAAAGCGAAAAGTAATAAACCTTTTTTCTTTTACCTTAATAGCGAATTTCTTAAAAATAAAAGTGTACCCTAAATATATATTACTTTTAATTATGATGAGTTTTAAATTAACCTTAATAACTAAGTTCTTAAACTAATGTACGTATGCCTAAGTAATTTTGAGTCGGTGCCAAGCAATTAGTGAAAGATCACTAAATTACCTTAAATTTAAGGAAATAAAATAACAATGCATTATTTTAATTAAGTAATTAATTGATTTACTTGTTTGGCACCGACTCAAAATTACTTAGATTTACTTGCATTGGTTTAAGAACTTAGTTATTAAGGTTAATTAAAAACTGATAATAATTAAAAAATATATACTTAGGTATACATACATTTGTTTAAGAACTTAGTTATTAAAGGTACAAGAAAAAGCTTTATTATTTTTCTCTTTTCAGCTTTTTCGGCGGTTTAATTTTTTTTGTTAAAAAGTTTTTTATTTAAATTTGTGTCTGACTGTGTCTTGTACTCAAATAGTGAAAGGATCATCTAAAAATTGGATATTTTATGAGAACGAAAAGTTTATAAAATAAATTATATAAAAAATAAAAAGTTTATTAAAACCTGTAGTAGTCTGCCACTCTACTGCTACCCTGTATATGACTAACAGGCGAAGCCGGGTGGGTAGCTATATTTGAAAATATCAAGGGCACAAACACATAAAAGAAAGGTAAAATTATTCACATTCCATTAGCGAAGACCTCTTTTATTCAGTACTTATTGAGTGATAATAGAACTTAGAGCTATATTAAAAATAAAACAAATGAATCCTCAGCGCCAATCGACAATTTATCACTTTTGTTTCAAATCTCTGCTTTAATTTCGAAATCTTCATTGACCGTCATGCTTAATGGTGATTCGATTTCGACTTTATAATATATTAGAGTACGGTTAAGTGATTTGCATTGTATTACCGCAGAGTTTTTACAGTTAAAATTAAACTAGGAAAAAATTAAAATTAAACTTGGAATAAATAGTCTAAATTGAATTAGCACTTGTATATACGAATGCAACAAAGACTTTAAATAAATAAATAAACAACCTATTCCGTTCCACCACGGTAATATTATATAGATAAAATTACCGTGGTTCCACGTTTGTCGTTAGAGGCGACTGGATTAGACAAACATAAATAAATAAATTATTTAGGATAGGTTTTTGGTTCCAGATTTAGAGTTTATTTTGCGGTGATACATAGTAATATAACGGCTGAATATAAGTACATTTTTATTGACTTTTCAATGAATTTGTGGCGGCGCTGTCCTTGCGCTACAACCTTAACACAACGAAGCCTAAATCTCTAGTTCCAGTTCCTGGGCGACTGTTCCGTCATCGTTTGAATCAACCACAACTGGCGTATTCACGGCGGCATCCACATTTGCCGTTTGCTCAGCAAGTTGCGGCGCCGCATCCTCAGCCGCAGCATTTTCACCCGATGAAGGAACAGCCTCACGTCGTAGCCGTTCGAGTTCGGTGACATCAAATGTATTTGAGCGCAAGATATACCGAACTCGGTCTGGCAGGTTTTGCTCGGTGACGGTTACAGATGGCTCGTGCTCAGCAAAAAGTCGATGCATCCTTGCCCGATACGCAAAACCTCCAGTTTCTCCCCCTTTCGCCCTAAAATACGCCCGCAATGCGTTGCTGTTCATCTGGGTTGTCCAATGCATGCGGCGTACGTGGAGTACCGAGCGGCGGGTGCCGATTGCTGGGCCCGCGAAGACCCTGCCGACACCAAACCAGCTGGTGGGGATGATGGATGCGAGGGGCTGCTGGGTGGTCGTACAGCACCTAGCGATCGGCTGGCGGTTCGCATGCTGTCGCGTCCAGCGTCAGGCCCAGACGCGCCCTGGCGACCTCCAGGCAGCGGCCCTTTACGCGTTCTTCCGTATTCCATCATCCATAGTGGTTGGCGTCATTTAGCGGGAGACGCCCAGACCCGGCGCCGTTTCATGGTGAGGCCATGTGCACAAGCGGGCCTTTGCACCTTCAATTTTTGCCGAGGCACGGCACTAACACCTCTCGGCAAGGTGCTGACTGACTGCGCTGACGTACCGGTTTTGTCACATAACCGTTACGTCAGCGGGCGATGGGGTTGTCACTTCCCTACGCCTATTTACTATTTACTATTATTATGTGTGGGGTATCTATATAGTTTTCTCATCTGGTTGGGATGTATAAATATATAATTATAAACGAAAATGAAAAGATAAATATACATAAATATCAATAAAATAAAATAAATACGAAAATACATAAATAAATAAAAGCCCAACCAGATGGAAGCCCTCGGCAGGGGAGAACAAACGGCCAAGGGTTAGGGTGAAAGGGAAAGAAACCGGCGGACGATGCGGGCAGTATCAAGGAGCACCGCCTTCTGCATTTGAGCCCGGAGCGGTCCGTCACGGAGTCCCAGTCGCCTCAGATGACCAGAGAGGCTAACTGGGATTAGCCCATTCGCAGAGACGACTACAGGAATAATTTCGGTCGGCAGACCACCCCACATGTCGGTCACCTCGCGAGCCAGGTCCAGATATTTTGATTGCTTATCTGTTTCGGCTCTCACGAGGTTCTCGTCATACGGGATGGTAATATCGACCAAAAATATCCTTGAATGTGCCCGGTCCATCAGCACAATATCAGGCTTATTCGAAAGAATAGTCCTGTCTGTGATGATGGCCCGGTCCCAGTAGAGCCTGGCGCGGTCATTTTCGAGTACGGCTTCCGGCAAGTACTTGTAATACGGTAATTTCCGGTCCACGAGACCGTATTTCAGAGCGAGCTCCTGGTGTAGAATTCTGGCTACTAGGTTGTGCCTGTGCAAGTACTCAGAGTTAGAAAGCGCCGAACAACCGGAGATGACATGCCTGAGTGACTCCCCGGGATGGCGACAAGCTCGACAGACGTCCTTTAGGATGTATCTCCGATAGTTGGTCTTAATAACCTGATCCTGTATTGCACAGACAAAACCCTCGGTTTCCCCGAAGAGGTCACCGAAACGTAGCCAGTTGAGGGAGGCGACTGTATCTACGAAGGGCTCATGTAGAGCCTTGTAGTACCTCCCGTGGAGCTCTTTCTCCTTCCATACGGTCTCCCGGTCGGAAATGCTAAGCACTGCTGGGTCCTGCCATTGCTCGTTGGCTAAGGATAGAGGAGTAAGCCCTTTATCACTAGAAATGACGTCATTATAGAATGGATCATCCGATATCGCCAAGAAGTATTGGCGGAGACTGCACACTTCGCGATTATGCATGGTGAGCGCGCTCAGAGAGCCACGCCCACCATACTTTCGCGGCAAATACAGCCTCATTACCGACGATCTCGGATGATGCATCCTATGGGACGTCATGGTAGTGCGGACTTTTCTATCCAGGGCGTTAAGCTCAGTCTGAGTCCACCTGAGTATGCCAAAGATATAACGTGAGGACAGGCATGACCCAGCAGTTATATGCGTGTATTCACACCGGACAAAAGGCTGTTAAGCACTTTGGTCAAGCGTGCATAAAACACGTCGCAAACTGACTGTTTCATACCATCCTCATCGATACCGATATTCTGTGACATACCCAGGTATCGGTATGTTTCAGCCTCGGAAAGGGTCCTTAATTTGACGGGCATAGACAAGTCCATGCCCTCAGAGTTAGCAACCCTTCCCCTTTCAACATGGAGGACTGCACACTTATCCGTCCCCAGCTCCATTCCAATGGAACTGCTAAATTCACAAGTGATGTTTAGCAGTTCCATAAGATGGGAGCGACTGGAGGCGAATAACTTGAGGTCATCCATATAGAAAAGGTGGGTCACTTTTGTCCCTCCTTTCCGTAGCTGAAATCCCCTCTCGGAGCCCTCCAGTAAGGTACTGAGAGGGTTAAGAGAGAGGCAGAACCAGATTGGACTCAGACAATCGCCCTGGAAGATACCCCTTCTTATCCTTATGTGGTTCTCCGCAGCCGTCATCCGCTCGCCCAGATGACAAAGGATCGTACTCCACTGCCCCATACACTGCTCGAGGAAGTCTCTAACTGTACAGTCAATCTTGTACAGCTCGAGGACCCTCTTTAGCCATGTATGGGGCACCGAGTCGAACGCCTTTCTGTAGTCTATCCAGGCGGAAGAGAATTTCCGACGGTTGCGCTTCACCACTTTGCCTATGACCGCGTCAATGAGGAGTGGTTCCTTAGTTCCACGACCACCGCCCCGACATCCATTTTGAGCGCGTGACATCACCTGGTTTAGCTCCAGGTGACGAGTGATTCTCGCGCTCAAAACGGATGTCAGTGTCTTATATATGGTGGGTAGACACGTGATGGGGCGGTATTTGCTCGGGTCTGTGGTATCCTGATCTTTAGGAACCAAGTGAGTGATCCCAGTAGTGAAGAGGCTCGGGAGTGACTTCTGGTCGAGAGCCTCTTGAAACTGTCGGGCGAGCACAGCGTGACACACTATGAACCCTTTCAGCCAGTAATGATGCAGCCCGTCGAGCCCCGGACTTTTCCAGTTCGGTGCCCCACGGACCGCCTCAGCCACGTCTTCTGGCGTTATGGTGATGGGGTCCATAGGCGTAACACTCGCACCCTGGCTCGCCACATCTTCCATCCACGGGCCCTCGCTGTGGTGTACGGGCGCTAACCACAGGCCACGCCAGAATGCGATAATGTCAGCCTGATCCGGTCCTTGGCCCGCTCCACATACCTTTGGTTGCTCCAATGATTTATAATGAGCCTCTTCTGATCACTCTGGAAGAGACGATTCTGGTTGAACCGCCTTGACCTCTCGGAAAATCGTCGAATCCGCTTCCCCCAAGCAGCGATCTTTTGCTTCAGGTCGTCTATGCGCTCCGTTAGTTTCTGCGTGATATCCGGCTGGGACAAACTGATATTTGTCCCAGCAAACGCCATCCTAACGGTGCGCATAATCCTCGGTCTATTATTACCCGACCTGAAGCTTGTCAGTCTACCGATAAGGGCCCTTGCCTTTGCAATACGGTCCTCGATTCTTTTTCTCCAGGCTGGGATGGCGCTACTTTGTGTAGTAGCGCGTCCAGCCATGGGAAGTTTGGCGCCAATAATACGGCAAACTGCCACTGCGGCGCCAAAGAGAATCGAGTCTGTCTCGCAAATGTCCCGGCTGGCTTCCAAATAGGTCACCAGAATTGGGTTAAGAGCCCTCACGACAGCCCAATTTCGCTTGCTTAGGGGTATGCGGGGAAGTCGCGGTCGATTTTCGAGAAGGGTGCTGCGCGTTTCCAAAATCGCCTCTTCCAATATACTCCTCATTTGCTCTAGTTCGTGGGAGACTATTTCATCGTCGTTCGAATCAACCACAACTGGAAGATCCATGGCGGCTTCCACGTGTGGATGCTGGTCTGTCGAATGTGGAGCTGCATCTCCAGCCATAGCCGATTCATTCGACGACGGAATAGCCTCACGTCATAGTCGTTCGAGTTCGGCATCATCAAATATTTTCGAGCGCATGATGTACCGAACTCGGTCTGCCAGGTTTTGTTCCGTGACGGGGATAGACGGCTCCAGCTCAGCAAAAAAGCAATGCATCCGAGACCTATACGCTATTTCCACAGTTTCTTCCCCTTTCGCCCTATAGTACGCCCGCAATGCGTTTTCGTTCATGGATTTTGTCCAACGCATGCGACGTGCTCCACCAGCGGCGGGTGCCGCTTGCTGGGTCCGAGAAGACCCAGCCGACACCAAGCCTTCTGGTGGGGATGATGGATGCGAGGGGCTGCTAGGTGATCGTGCAGCTCCTCGCACTCGGCTGGCGGCCCGCATGCTGCCGCGCCAACGCCAGCTCCAGACGCGCCCCGGCGACCCCCAGGCAGCGGCCCTATGCGCGTTCCTTTCTGTGTTTCTTCCATCATCCATTTTATGGGCGCCAAATAACGGGAGACGTCCAAGCCCGGCACCGTTTCGTGGTTGGGTCATATGCACAAACGGACCTTTGCATCTATAATTTTGCCTAGGCACGGCGCTCACACCTCTTGGCAGGATGCTGACTGACTGCGCCGACGTCGCAGTTTTGTCATATAACTGTTACGTCAGCGGGCGATGGGGTCGTCACTTCCCTACGCCTTATTATTTTTATTATTATTATTTTTTATCTATATAATTTTCTCACCTGGTTGGGTATCTATAAATATATAATTATAAATTAAAATGAAAAGATAAATGTACATAAATATCAATAAAATAAAATAAATACAAAAACTACATAAATAAATAAGATACAACCAGATGGGAGCCCTCGGCAGGGGGAGACCAGACGGCCGAGGGTTAGGGGGAAAGGGAAAGAAATCGGCGGACGATGCGGGCGGTATCGAGGAGCACCGCCTTCTGCATTTGAGCCCGGAGCGGTCCGTCACGGAGTCCCAGTCGCCTCAGATGACCCGAGAGGCTGACTGGGATTAGCCCATTCGCAGAGACGACTACAGGAATAATTTCGGTCGACACACCACCCCACATGTCGGTCACCTCGTGAGCCAGGTCCAGATATTTTGTTTGTTTATCTGTTTCGGCTTTCACGAGGTTCTCGTCATACGGAATGGTAATGTCGATCAAAAATATCCTTGACTGTGCCCGGTCCATCAGCACAATATCAGGCTTATTCGCAAGAATAGTCCTGTCTGTGATGATGGCCCGGTCCCAGTAGAGCCTGGCGCGGTCATTTTCGAGTACGGCTTCCGGCAAGTACTTGTAATACGGCAATTTCCGGTCCACGAGACCGTATTTCAGAGCGAGCTCCTGGTGTAGAATTCTGGCTACTAGGTTGTGCCTGTGCAAGTACTCAGAGTTAGAAAGCGCCGAACAACCGGAGATGACATGCCCAAGTGATCCCCGGGATGGCGACAAGCTCGACAGACGTCGACAGTGCCATCCTTTAGGATGTATCTCCGATAGTTGTTGGTCTTAATAACCTGATCCTGTATTGCACAGACAAAACCCTCGGTTTCCCCCGAAGAGGTCACCGAAACGTAGCCAGTTGAGGGAGGCGGCTGTATCTACGTGAGGCTCATGTAGAGCCCTGTAGTACCTCCCATGGAGCTCCTTCTCCTTCCATACGGTCTCCCGGTCGGAAATGCTCTGTACTGCCGGGTCTTGCCATTGCTCGTTGGCTAAGGATAGAGGGGTAAGTCCTTTATCACTAGAAATGACGTCATTATAGAATGGATCATCCGATCTCGCCAGGAAGTAATGACGGAGGCTGCACACTTCGCGATTATGCATGGTGAGCGCGCTCAGGAAGCCACGCCCACCATGCTTTCGCGGCAAGTACAGCCTCATTACCGACGATCTCGGATGCATCCTATGGGACGTCATTGTAGTGCGGACTTTTCTATCCAGGGCGTTAAGTTCAGTCTGACTCCACCTGAGTATGCCAAAAGTATGCATGAGAACAGGCATGACCCAACCGTTATATGCATGTGTCTTATTCACACCGGACAAAAGGCTGTTAAGCACTTTGGTCAAGCGTGCATAAAACACGTCGCAAACTGACTGTTTCATACCAGCCTCATCGATACCGATGTTCTGTGACATACCCAGGTATCGGTATGTTTCAGCCTCGGAAAGGGCCCTTAAGTTGACGGGCATAGATAAGTCTATGCCCTCAGAGTTAGCAACCCTTCCCCTTTCAACATGGAAGACCGCACACTTATCCGTCCCCAGCTCCATTCCAATAGAATTGCTAAATTCACAAGTGATGTTTAGCAATTCCATAAGATGGGAGCGACTGGAGGCGAATAATTTGAGGTCATCCATATAGAAAAGGTGGGTCACTTTTGTACCTCCCTTCCGAAGCTGAAATCCCCTCCCGGAGCCCTCCAGTAAAGTACTGAGAGGGTTCAAAGAGAGGCAGAACCAGATTGGACTCAGACAGTCGCCCTGGAATATACCCCTTCTTATCCTTATGCGGCTTTCCGCAGCCGTCATCCGCTCGCCCAGGTGACAGTGGATCGTACTCCTTACTTATTATTATTATTATATTGGGGTATCTATATAATTTTCTCACCTGGTTGGGTTCTATATATTATTATTATTATTATGTGTGGGGTATCTATATAGTTTTCTCATCTGGTTGGGATGTATAAATATATAATTATAAACGAAAATGATTAAAAATTATTATTATTATTATTAGATAAAAGGCATAAATAAGTTAGTAAACGTGGTGTGTTTTTACACACATATAGTATACCGTGTGTCCGTGGCTATATGAAAACATTCTAACAATCTTTTATCGATGTTATATTTATAGAAATATTGATATGGGCTGCCCTATTAACCGCCATTTTATCCTCTCTGTAAAGTGTAGGTATACACGTATTTCTTGTAGATATGCCAGGTCCATATTATATTTTTTATGCGTCTATGATATACTTTTAAGTCAATGGTTGTCGGGATTTGTGGCGGGAACTTGGCCGACGACGGACTGTCGCTTCTGTTTTGTCGCTTGAGTAATGATTTGAAGTGGATTTTAATTCGTAATAGTGATATAATTTTGTGAATTAAGCGTCTGCGCGTTTGAAATATTAGAGAAAACGATGAAACAAGTGTTTTGATGTTGATATAAACCTCAATTTAATTTGATCGCTTGGGCGCCTTATGAACTTGAGTGGCTGTCGTCATCAACAGTCCGTTGGATTGAGTTGTCGTCAAAATATCCCAAAAACTTCACAATGTGACGCATCAGCATATTGTGAAGAAAAAAAAATATAAAATGAAGATTCTGAAAGAAATGAAGGGCTAGTACCCAGAGCTGTAAAGCCAGTTAAAAAAAGAGTCAATGGTTGTTTCTTATTTCTATGTTGTTTCTAGTCAAACTTAATAGTCTGTGGCTCTGTGGTTGTCAATGTCATTGTTTGTTTTTTCTGGTGCGCCTGTTTACCCTAACTTGCTACATATTTATTTATCTATGGTTTACCCCCGCCTAAGGGTATTAGTGTTCTGTGTGTTTACCTGTTTATGAGCCTGCTAATATTACCATTAAGTTTTTATTGCTATCATAAAATTTATATAGTAAGTAATATGTGTATGTGTCAAGAAATTCGTTAGTTGGCTGCTCCTTTCGACAGCCCATCTAAGATGCAACCTCTAATATCACTGATTGGTAAGAAAAGTTAGTTTTATTTACGTATTATATATATATATATGTTATATATATATATATATATATATATATATATATATATATTTCCTATGTGTAATATTGTGTTTGATATTAACGGTTAAGATATACCTATGATGTATAGTAGGACTTTGTTAAGCTAAGTCAGCGCTCTTTACCATCCTTGTCCGCATCATTAGATATAATTAAGTGGAATAGTAATCAAGCGCTGACTTACAATGGTTCAATAGTAGGCATGAGTCCAATATATCATAATGTAACTCATGTTATATCTAAACATATAATCATTTTCAGTCAATGTTCAATAATTTATCAACCTACAATATTCTATATCACACAGCCAGCAATCACCATACACATCTATGTCACGCTATATTAATATTCAAAATCAATGAAGTACCTATACAAATTTGATAAATGTTAATAATTACAGTTCCTATGGACAAATAATGTATACCGTCAGCAAGCACAGTATCCGCAGAACCCCAGTAGATGGAGTGATGACCTAGTAAGAAATGAGAGAAGTTGATAGATACAGGTTGTTCAGGACAGTGTTTTGTGGCATTCCTTGGTCGGCCTATGTTCAGTAGGGGACTTGTAATGATGATATACACTTTTACACTGAAGTGCTTTACACTTTTATGTAAGTATTCATCTTCCTATACATATAATATTCACTAATGTGAAATCTGCAGTCACTGCAATTTAGTTGTAATTCCTCTAATTGTATCTCATTATGTCCATGTCTTGATGTGTGATTGTAGCTCTATATATGCTAGCTATGCCACTCCATGCACAATCTAATACTCTTTATGGTATAAGCAACTGTCCTGGTGTGAAGTATCGCCATATCTTTGCAAAGTATTAGTTATCACTTTCACTACTAAACACAATTACCTGCATTTTAAATACAATATCAGTAGTCAGCCTCGACGCACAAGGAGATTGTTAAGGATTTGGGCGTATATTTCGATTCAAAATTTTCGTTTCGTCCACATTATGAGTTCATAACCCAAAAAAGTTTCAAAACCTTAGGGTTTATAATTCGTGTAACAAAAAAATTTCTCCAAACCACTCACATCATTTTGATTATTTTATACTTTAGTTTGTTCTGTACTGAAGTATACTTCCATTGTATGGTCACCCTTTTATAAGGTACATTCTGACAGTATTGAGAGGGTGCAGAGTTGTTTCCTTCGCA